GCGCGGGGCAGCCGCAGCCCGCGAGGCCGCTGCAGCTGCTGGACGCCTCCTGGTACCTGCCCAAGCTGGGCCGCGACGCGCGCCGCGAGTTCGAGGAGCGCCACATCCCCGGCGCTGCCTTTTTTGACATCGACCAGTGCAGCGACCGCACGTCGCCCTACGACCACATGCTGCCCAGCGCGGCGCACTTCGCGGAGTACGTGGGCCACCTGGGCGTGGGCGCCGACACCCACGTGGTGGTTTACGACGCCAGTGACCAGGGCATGTACGCGGCGCCGCGGGTCTGGTGGATGTTCCGCGCCTTCGGCCACCGCGCCGTGTCGCTGCTGGACGGTGGCCTCCGCAACTGGCTGCGCCAGGGCCTCCCGCTCAGCTCGGGCAAGAGCCGCCCGGTGTCCGCCGAGTTCCGAGCCGCACTGGACCCCGCCTTCGTCAAGACCTACGAGGACATCAAGGAGAACATCGAAGCCCGGCGCTTCCAGGTGGTGGACGCCCGCGCCGCTGGCCGGTTCCAGGGCATCGAGCCCGAGCCCCGAGATGGTAACAGCGCTGGCACAGGGGCTGGGAGGTCCCCTGGGCCGTGGGATCAGGCGGGCCCCGGGCACTGCCCTTGCCCTTAAAGGACTCTGCGTGGGGTGGGGGCTCAAGATTTGCCTCCCCCTCCAGTGCTTGGGGCAATGACTGCCCCAAATTTGTTGGGAACCCAGGGTGCCTCACTCACTACTGTGGGTGTAGGGGTCACTGTAGAATAGGAGGGGTGGTGGGCAGGCCCAGTGTGAGGGAAGCCCCAAAGAAATGAGGCCTCATCAGGTCTTTGCCATCCCTGAGGGTGACAGAGTGGGGGCAGAGAGAGGCTGAGGCCACAGAGTAAAGGGAAGTCTCTCAGGGGCCAAGGCTGACAGAGGGCGGGAGACGGGGCTGCCTGGGTTGGGGCAGAAACTGAATAGAGGGTGGTTGCTGCCCTGGGTTGGGGCAGGGCCTTCTGCTGGGGGCTCAGTTCTCCAGGCAAGGAGCCTGCAGGGAAACCCTGTATGAGGTAGGGCGGGGTCAGTTAGCGGCCACTTGGTGTGAGCTTTTTAATGCTCCCTCAAGGTGTCTGCTGTCCCCGTAGAAAGGAGGAAATGGAGCCTTAGAATGGCGACCTTGCCATAGGTGTCAGAAAGCAGCCCAGCCGGGAGTTGAACTCCTAGAGCCCGTCCGTTTAATGTCAGTGAACAGCCAGTAACTCCCCCGCCATTTCTCCTGTGCTGACTTCAGGGAGGGGGAAGGAACTTGCTACTTCCTCCGGGAAGCTCTCCCTGAATGGCACCCCCGTATCCCCGGATCAGAGTTGGAGCTTCTCTGTGCTGGCAGAGCAGCGTGGGCTCACCCTATCCTCGCACTGTTTTGGATGGCCTGTGGGCAAGGACATCCTTGTTCCCAGTGTACCCTGAAGCTCACCCAGGAGCTGGCATCGAGATGGTGCCTCAGAGAGGTTTAGTAAATCCAGAAGGTCCCTACCACATGGGACCCTGCAGAGCAATGTTGACAGGTCAAACCACATGGAACTGCTAATAGCCAACCATTTTTAAACCTACACAGGTGGCAGTTTCATACAGTTCAGCCTAATAAGGATGCCACCTGAACCTGTTGGGTCCTTCAGCTCAGCCCCCGGGGAGGGGAGGAGTGGGAATGAAGAGTGAAGCAATGTAGGACCTGGCTTTGAGACAGCGCCCTGCCCCAGATTCCACAGGCTGACACCTGGCAGGTGACCTAGTCTCTGAACCGTAGCTTCTGCACGTGTAAAGTAGCAGCAGAATGTGGAACTTCAAAGATGCGGTCAGGCTCAAAGGTCAGGTGGCAGCAAGTGAGGAAAGCATTTGGCTCCGTGTTGGCGCACATGGGATGCACTCAGGAAATGCGAAGTGATGTAATGTGTGCGTCTCTGGTTGTGGCTCTTTACTGGAGTGCTTCGGGCTTACCCCAGTCACGCTTGCTCATCTGCAAAGTGAGATAACGGTATACACCCAGCAGGCCTGTTGTCAAGGTGCACTGAGCTGATATGCGTCAAGGCTCGATCTAAACCAGTGCAGAATGTCACTATCATCATTCCTGCCCCACGACTGAGACCTGGCCCAGTGTGCCTAGAGTCTGCCACATTGTTCTGGCAGGGAGGGGAAGCCTCCTTTGCTTGGTGGGATTCAAGGAGTGGGGACAGCCCTGCTCTGACAGTAGCCAACCTGGGTTGAGAGCTTGCTCTGCTCCTTTGCTCTGGGCTAATCTATACACAATGGCTCTGACTGAGCCCAATTTCTGCATCTGTTAAGTGGAGATGCATGATGCACTCCAACTCACCATTGGCTGTAATGCTGGCTATACATGAAGTCCTGAGAGGAGACAGTGACAAGAGTCAGCTGCTCCCTTTAGGAGTGTCAGCCCACTGCAGGAGGAAACTGAGGCAGAAGCCACCCTGGAGTTCAATGCCTGAGATTTGAGCCATTGCCTGTTACGGTTTATTTTGTTGCAAATCTGTCTTTGGTGTGAAAATGGGAATATTAGGAACACCTGCCTAATTGGAGGTGGTGAGAACAAATGACCAATGGTGAAATGAACTGTGTATTGGGAGCCCTGGGGAAGTTTTGGGTGATGTGGGTGAAGGGATGACCCCCTAAATGAATGGTTTTCTAGCCTTGCCCTGGCTCTTCCTGCTATAATCAAAATAATCTTTGGAAATGGAAGTCTGATTTCCCCTTGTGGTCATGTCCGAGCTCTAAGATTTAATCCAGGCCTACTAAGATGTTCTCACCTGCCTCAGTTTCCCCTTGGGCCTCAGCCTCCCCACTATCTGGGCTTTTACTATGATGACCTTTAACCCATCTAAGCACCATCTCCTTGGAATGCTCTCAGCCCCCGCAGCCCAGACCTTTCTACCTGGCTGAATCCTACTCACCTTTCAGGGCCTTCTCAGAGAAGCTTCCCTGGCCACCCCTCCCGGGCAGTGCTGCCTGATGGTTAGTGAACAGGCTCTGGGGCCTCTGCCCCTACTAACTTGGGAAAGTTAGTCTGCGTGCCTCAATCTCACCTGTATAAAGAGAGGGTGGTAATTTCTTTCCCATAGAGTTTTGGGGAGTATTAAAAGAGAAAATATAGCCGAGGGGGTTCAGAACAGTGCCAGGCACAAAGTGAACACTCAGTAGTGTCAGCTGTTATCATCTTATCTGATGTGCCCCATGCAGGAGGGCCTTTTGGTAACACTCACCATACTTGTAATTATTCAGCTATTGCCTGTCTGCCCTGCCAGATCAAAAGTCCTTGACTGCAGGTGCTACCGTCCCAGAGGCAGAGGTCTTGTTTATCTTCATTACCCCAGGACACATAGTCGGTCATCAGGAAAGCAAGGGCAGTGTGGCTCTGGGGGGCTCTGAGTCTTGGGTTCAGGTTCCAGCCAGCAACTGGCCAGAGGCACGACCTTGGGCGGTACAGAACCTCAGCATCTCCATCTGTGAAATGGAAATGCCTGTAAATCGTGCCTGGGTTTCCAGTTGTGAGGGCCACAAGAGATGATGTACACAGGGGGTTTAGCGCCATGGCTGCGTGGGAGGCTCTCAGGACCGCAGGGGCCATTCACGTCGCCCTTGTATTTGATTCCTCCCCCTGCTCTCCTGCTGCAGGCATTGAACCTGGCCACATCCCCGGCACTGTGAATATCCCCTTCACAGACTTCCTGACCAAGGAGGGCCTGGAGAAGAGCCCTGAGGAGATCCACCGCCTGTTCCAGGACAAGAAGGTGGACCTGTCCCGGCCACTGGTGGCCACTTGTGGCTCCGGCGTCACAGCCTGCCACGTGGCATTGGGGGCCTACCTCTGTGGCAAGCCTGATGTGGCCATCTACGATGGCTCCTGGGTGGAGTGGTACATGCGTGCCCAGCCCGAGGAAGTCATCTCCGAGGGCCGAGGGAAGACCCGCTGAGGCTGGGCAGGACATGACACATGAAGCTCAGGTGATACCTAGCCACCAGCTGTGCCCAGCCTGGTGGTTCTGATGCTGTTTTCACCAGAAGAGCGTTTCTTCCTCTAACTCAGGCGGTACATGGGGCGACATCCCAGAGGCCAGGAGTTCTTTTGACCGGTGGGCTCCCAGGAGAGAAGGTGGAGGTGGGCGCAGGGGAAGGGGAGCCACCCACATGGGAGGGGCCCCACCTCCCTTCTGTTTCACTGTGGAGGAAATAAAACAGCCAAGTACTAAATGCTTCTTACTCTGGGGCTGCCTTCGTTTCCTAAGGAGCCAGGGATTCCAGCACGCCCAGCAAAGGGAGCTCGCTGGAGCCTGAGGGTCTTGGAAACCTGTCCCTGCCTCTGAGTGGTGCTGGGTCCCCAGATCCCTTTCATTCTTATAACCAGAATGCCCCCAACAAACCGTCCTGCACCCCTAATGCTAGGGCTTTTCCTTCTGGCTTCCAGGCTATTTAAGGTGAATCTTGCCATGATATGTCTGGAGTCCCACTCAAAGCCCCAATGGGTGAGCAGTACATCTCGTTTCCGGATTGAGATGGGTCCGACACGAAATAGGAGGCTGTACCACACTGAGGAGGCCTGTCCCAGCCCATAGGGCGTGCTGGAGAATGGCCAAGTTTAGCTCAAGTGGAGGAGAATCTTATTTTAGACTCTGGGAGTCCATGCTTAGAGGCTACTCTCTGGAGCTGCCAGGGGGTGGGGCGACCCAGGGGTCCAGCCTTTCTGCTCAGGAGAACCTCTTCCCTGAGGCTTCCCTAGGGTAGGGACTCTGTTCTCCCTTTGTCTTTGTCCTCTGTGCAGGGGTGGACAGAGGTGTTTGAGAAGGCCCCAAAGGCTTCCTGTCAACCTGGGCCACCCCTCCCCACCTTCAAGCCCCCGAGGCACCTCTCAGTAGCAAATGACCAGTGTCAGTCAGTATTGGGGGGAACCCTAGAACCAAAGAGAAAAAAAAACAGGGGCAGTGACTTTCCCAAGGTAACACAATGGGAATCACCCCCATTGAGAACCACAGCTGTAGGAGCAAATAGCACAGTGGAGCACAGCAGTCAGGAACACTGTAGACATGCAGGGAGCCCTTTCCCTAGAGACACAATTTAGCAACTGAGAAACCTTCCCTTTGGCTGGTCTCAAACAAGCCTCAGTTTCTCTCCCAGTAATGTCCCTGCCTCTTCAAGGAGCAAGGTTTGTCTGCAAACACATGTGAGGTTCTGATCTGCCTTCTGTCTCTGCTACCCCATTGCAGGGCTGCCTGACCTTGGAAACATTTCTGAGCCTTGGTTTCTTCATCTTTAAAATGGGAGTAATAGTACCTCCCTTGAGCAATACGAGGATTGAATGAGAGAATCCATAGGTACTGTTTAAGGGTGCTGGGCACCGAGCAGACATCAACATTGTTATTTTTTAAAGGACTTTTATTTATTTGGCATGTTGAGTGCCTCCTACACTCTGGAAAGGGAGCAAGGAATGTGAGCACTGCTCCTGCCCTGGAAAAGCTTCCCGGCCAGGGAGGAAAACAGGCCCATCTTGTCATATTTCCAGAAAGAAGGGAGAAATGATCTATTTTACAAGTGAGAAGATAAGTTCAGAGATTGAGTGGTTTGCCTAAGGGCACACAGCTAGTTCAGAGAGTTAAAATTCTCAGGTCAGGAGCCTCTCTAATGGGCCTTTCCTGCGGTGGCTTTACAGATCTCAAGGTCAAGGGAAGGATGGAGTATAACTCAGGGTTTGGAAACATGCGTGACAAGCTCATGTGAGATGGCCAAGTGTCTCCTCAGCTCCACGAGGAGATGCCTTGAGTTGAGGGATACAAGCAAGGGTGCTCGGTTCCCTTTCCCCAGCCCAGCCCACCCCGGGCAAGGCGCCTGGCTGATTGAGCCAGGGCTACTTTCCTCCTTGGAAGGCCCTCCTAGATGGGTCTGGACAGGTTCAGAGGAGCCTGAACCTGCCCAGAGGTGGAGAAGAGGTGTAGCCAAGCCTTCTAGGATTCTCAGAACTTCGGGTTTAACTTCACAGGAGCTGGCGAGCCCTGACCTGCCCCCTGCCTCCTGCCAGCCCGAATTCCCGGAATAATTAACCACACAAGGGAGAGGCCCTGCCTCCCCTCCACTTGTGCACTGTAGGCAGGAATTTGCAACATTGGATAACGAGGATGATGAAATTTTTGTCCACTGAGCAAATATTTGCTGAGCACCCCCTCTGTGTAAGGGACAGTTGGAAGTTTCCCAACCTTGTCTAACCAGGTGTCCTGGAATATAGTCATTCCCTGGGTCGGTCCCTTGAGGGATCATGGCCTCAAGAAGCCCCCACCCCACACTGGAATCAACTCTGCACAAGGCCCCAGAGGGTCTGCCTTTTAGACCCTTCAGGTAGGGGCCTCAGTCATCTCTGAAAAATGGGAGCAGACTCAGCCCTGCCACACACAGGGTGGGTGTGATGTAAAATAAGGTAAAGCTCAAAACAATATAAGGTGTCACTCCCACTGGATCAACCCCAGCTCCGCGCGCAGAGCAGAGCTTTATCTCCCTAACTGCTGGTGAATGTCACTTGGGAGGAGATGAAGTTGTCAGGTTAACTGACGCTTTATCATTTTAAGCACCAACATTTTTAACATTAAGCTTTGAGGGGGTGGGACACAGTACATGGAGGAAACCTGAACTCCCAGGGTTCTGTTTCACCACTTTATTGCAGTGATACCTTCAGGGACTGTTTGCCCCTGAACTAAATGGCCCCAACTGATGTGCCTTCCTAGTGCTAAAGTTCTTGCAACGCCATCGCAGGTCAGCCTTGCTGACTCCTGCAGTCTCCACCTGCTTCCAGGTGGGCCCACTCTCCCTGGATGATGCCACCATTCCAGTGGCTTAACCCACTGAGTTGAGCTGGGGACTCGAATCTGGGCCTGCAGCAGCTGGCTGCACTCAGATCCCTGTGCCCACTGTCTGCTCCTCAGTCCACATTCCCTGACTCAGTGTGCACGGCCACCATGCAGGGGTCACCTGTGGCCAGACCTGGCAGTTTGAGACTCCATAGCCAGTCAGCACTGAGGTCTTTGTGTTTTGTTTTGTTTTAAAATATGTCTTTATTGATTTCAGAGAGAAAAAGGGAGGGGAGAGAGAAACATCAATGATGAGAGAGTCATTGATTGGCTGCTTCCTGCATGCCCCCGACTGGGGATCGAGCCTACAACCCAGGCATGTGCCCTGACCAGGAGTCAAACCGCGATCTCCTGGATCATAGGTCATTGCTCAACCGCTGAGCCACACCGACCATGCAGCACTGAGGTCTTAGGATTTCCAACTCTATTCCCACTGCCTTGGTCCAGGTCCCCCGCCCACCATGCCCAAGACACACAGACACAGTCTGTCCCACCTGTCAATTCCAGCACACGCTGAGGGACAGGCCTTGCACCAGGACCCGGGGTGATGGAGAATGAAGAGAGACCCTCGGGAATCGGCCTAGCGGGGAGTGACTGACAAAGACTATGACAGATGTGAGGAGCATCAGGCATGGTGCACAGAAAAGGTGGGGGGCCTGGTCTGAGAGGCCCTCTGCCCAGGGCTGACAGCCATGTGGACACAGCAGGGAACAGCGTTCAAAACACAGCCCCTGGAGGCATCAGGACCTCCTGCTCCTCAGCTCTGAGTGTGGGCAGGTGCCTCGATTTCCTCATCTGTGACATGGGGATAATCCAGTACCTGCTTCATAGGATCAGATTCACACAAAGCACTGAGAACAGAGCCAGTCGCAGAAATAATTATCGCTGTTACTAATACCCTGTCCTGCTCCCACTCCTGCCTCCTTGTGCCGGCCTGTATGCCCTTGGGGGTAACATCTTCCTCATGGTTCTCTTCCTGGCCTCAGCAGTGACGGGTGTGAAAGGGGCTGGAATATGAATGGGGCGTATACGTTAATATCCTGGTAGGGCTGAGAGGGACCCTAATAATCCCTCCATTTACTGAGCACTGTCCATGTCCAGAGAGGATGCTAAGTGTTTTGCATCCATTTAACCCAACAAGTCAGAAATAGGTGTTATTAGCCCCCATTTTACAGGCAAGAAAGGTAGGGGCTTAGAGAGGTGAGGTGACCACCCAAGGCCACAGGAAGGTTAGGGCTGGGATGGAATCCTGTATGGAATGACTACAGGGCATTCATCCACTGCAAGACAGAATTGGAGAGGGGTCATAGAAGAGGAGTGGGGGTTCTCTCCTGGTGGGGACAGTCATAAGTCCCCTACAAAGGCCCTGGCACACACACATGCTCACACCTTCATTCATGGGGAAGGAATGAGGGAACCAGAGGCTGACTAACTTGCGGGCGCCGTATGTACTCTGATCTGTTTCCCCAGGACTCTCTTTAAAGTATGGAGTAGCAATCAGCAAAGAAAACCGCCGGAAAGGCCATCACCGGGCACTAAACATCGGGCACAATATTTGCTGAAAACGTGATAAACTGCAGAATTGTGTGGCTCTAGAACGGGATGGGAGGGGCCTCCAGGAATTCCAGGCAAGCTGGGTACCAGGGAGGCTCCCTGAGCTGATGCCGTGGGGACAGCTATTGCCCAGTGACAGTGGTTCGTGTGCACTTTCTTGTCACCTCTTCTGCTGCTGGCCTTCGCTCCCTCCCACTCCTGCCTTGTAGCCCTTCCCCGCTTCTGAACCATGACAGGCTTAAAAATCATGTTGGTATCTAACGAAGCCACAGACACACTTCCCTTGTGATCCAGTGATCTCATTCTAGGAAGCCACCCTGAAGATACACTTCCAACAATATGAAAATACTTATGCATAATTGAGTTACTTGTTACAGCATTAGTTGTAATTGTGAAATACTGGAAACCACCTAAATGCAAACATATAGAAGGACATTTGAATAAACTGTGGTGAGATCACACGGAGAGCTGTGCAGAAATGAAGGAACGAGGAAGGGCTCTGTGAAGTGTGGTGGACTGATTTCTAGGATGCATTGTTAAGGGAGAACAAAGGGCAAGAGTGTCCCCAGGATGCTGCCTTTTGTGTAAGGAAGGAGGGAAATTAGAGTGGGCGTGTCCCTGATCATTCCTGCGAAAGAGACACAGCAGCGATAAACCAGAACGGGTGGGACTGGCTGCCTATGGGGATGGTGGCAAGAGGGTGAGACCGCTGTGGTGACACTTGTCTACTTTTCTGTACATGACTTTTTGCATCATTTGACCTTTAAAACAGTGCTACGTTTTGCATACTCAAAAAAATGAACAAGGAAAGAGTGAAATAT